ACACTTAATTTCAGAACTAGAAAGGCCTCCAGAGGTCACCTGCTGCCAACCAGGCCAGAGAAGTCAAGGACCTCCCTGGAGTTCTAAGTGGAGCAAGTGGCATTCCTGAGTCCAGGGGGAGTAACTATACCCAGCTTTGCACAGAAGCCCAAGGAAACCTTCAGGCCTGCCTTTCACTCCCTGATGGCTTCCTTGTACCACATCACTCAACAGATGCACATCCAGGTTCTACTAGGAGCCAGTTACTCTGGACAACAGGGGACAGAACCAATTCTCCAGACCCCTAGAGTGGACACTCTAGTCAGCAAGTGCCCACAAATCATCCAATTCAGCACAGGAAGTCCATCCTCCCTTCTCTCCCTGCTTTTATTTGTTTTTCTGAGACAGTGCCTCACTCAGTATCCCAGGCTGGTCTTGAACTCTTTTTTTTTTTTTTGTTTTTCGAGACAGGGTTTCTCTGAGTAGCCCTGGCTGTCCTGGAACTCACTCTGTAGACCAGGCTAGCCTCAAACTCTCGAACTCAGAAATCCACCTGTCTCTGCCTCCCAAGTGCTGGGATTAAAGGCGTGCGCCACCATTGCCCGGCGAGCTCTATGTTTTGCTGGCATCAAAAGAGCACAAGTGGAAAAGTGATTGGTGCTTTGAGAGTGAAGAAGACCAGTCAGCTTTCCCTCTGCTGTTCACTCTTGACATCAGGGAATCGGTGATTAAGGACCTGGAGGGCTGGAGAGACGGCTCAGCGGTTGAGAATGCCAGTGCCTCTTGCAGAGGACCCAGGTTTGGTTCCCGGCACTTATGTGATGCTCGCGACCTGTTTTAAATCCAGATCCAGAGGTCCAACCAATTGTCCCCTGTTGATCTCTGTAGGCGGCAAGGGTGTCACTCTCCGTGGTTGCTCTTGTGTTTGAAGTGTATCCATCATTCCTCTTCCTCCTCAGCTTCCTATTTCTTCCCTCCCTCCCTCCCTCCCTCCGTCCTTCCCTCTCTTCCCTTCTGAGTTTCAGTATGACTGGTGATCCTCCTGCCTCTGCCTCCTGAGAGCTGGGTTGCAGGCGTGCACCATATCCAATTTGCTAGGGCCCTTCTAGTTTACCTTGAGGAAGGTTGTCGGATCCAAGCCCATGGCATACTGCTGGGTGTGGCCTTGATGGTTCTTTGGGAAAAAAAATCTTGCCTCCACGGTTCCTTACCAAAGTCTATAGAATGAACAAAGCTACCAGAAGCCAAGGAGCTTTGGTTTATCTGTCTCAAAATTACAGGGAGGGCACGTTTCTGTTGAGATATTGTCGTTTATGTAGAATATTTCAGTGATCTCTCATTATTACTACTACTATTATGTTTTTCTTTTTTCTTTCTTTTTTTTTTTTTTGGTTTTTCGAGACAGGGTTTCTCTGTGTAGCCCTGGCTGTCCTGGAACTCACTCTGTAGACCAGGCTGGCCTCGAACTCAGAAATCCGCCTGCCTCTGCCTCCCAAGTGCTGGGATTAAAGGCGTGCGCCACCACCAACCAGCTCGTTTTTTCGAGATGTGATTTCTCTATGTATAACTAGCCTTGGCTGTCCTGAAAGTCACTCTGTAAACCAGGCTGGCCTTGAACTCACCCTGCCTCTGCCTCCCAAGTGCTGGAATTAATGGGGTGCACCACCACTGCCCAGGTTTCTTTGAGACATCTTGAGATACCAAATGAACTCTGTGTATTTTAACATTCAATTGTTTGTTTAAGGTTGTCTCCTAAGTGTCAAAGTGTGGAGGGCCCCCCATGCAGCCAAGTACTTTGATGATCAGACTTTCTGGGAGGTAAGATTTTTAAGCTATTATATATAGATTTGTGTTTGTGTGTGTGTGTGTGTACACGTGCGCAAGAAGACCAGAGGACACTTAGGCGTCTTCTTCAGGTGTCCCAAGCTTAAAGATAAGGAAATGGAGCTCCATTGGAGATTAAGTCACTTGGCCAAAATGGCAAAGCCAAAGTGGCAAAGAGGGAAACAGATGAGTGTGCTTAGCTCAAATGTGTGGTGGGCATCTGCTGGAGAATTGTCTCCAGACCTGGATGGTACCATGTGGCCATCATACCTATTTCTTGTCACTATAATGTAGGAAAACAGACCAGGGGCTGCCAGTGCTCCCATTTACATAAACCCAGAGACAAGGGGCTGCATGACTCTATCAGTGTCATAAGCACCATGTAGAAAACACCAAACAGAATGAGCTATTGCTTACCGGAAGTAGTGAGTCCCTGCCACTGGAGGAATTCAAATAAATGATCCATGGGGATCCATCATTCATGAAGTTGGGCGTGCTGGCCCATGACTGTACCCTAGGATGACGGATTCGGGGATAGTGCTGGGGGGGCTGGAGAGTGGTTAAGAGTATTTGCTTCTCTTATGGAGGCTATGGCTTCAGTGTTGCCAGCAGTTACTGGTTCCTGCGACCCACATCCTGTAACTTCAGTTCCAAGGGTTTGGGGTCACCTCTGGCCTCTTCTGACACTGCACACATGTAGTACACACATGGACAAGCATGTACATGGAGTATACACATGGGAAAACAAGTACAGGCTGGAAGGATGGCCCAGTTGTCAAGAGTCCTGGTGTTCTCCCAGAGGACCTGGTTTTGATACCTAGAACCTGCATGGCAGTTCACAACCATCTGTAACTCCGGTTCTAGGGACTGGACGCCTCTGATAGCCATGGGAGGGACCATGCATATGCGCAGTGCACAGACATACATGCAAACAAATCCTCCATGCACACAATTTAATTAAAAATAATTAAAGCTGGGTGTGATGGCACACATCTTTAGTCCTAACACAGGGGAGAAGGAGGCAGGTGGATCTGAGTTTGAGGCCAGCCTGGTCTACAGAGTGAGTTCCAGAACAGCCAGGGCTACACAGAGAAACCCTGTCTCGAAAAACAACAACAAAAAACAGAAACAAAAACAAAAATTAAAAAAACAGAAAAAGAAATATATAGGTAAGATCGGTAAGATCTCTCCTAATTTAAGATTTTCTTTTCTTTTTTTTTTTTTGGTTTTTCGAGACAGGTTTTCTCTGTATAGTCCTGGCTGTCCTGGAACTCACTCTGTAGACCAGGCTAGCCTCGAACTCAGAAATCCGCCTGCCTCTGCCTCCCAAGTGCTGGGATTAAAGTCGTGCGTCACCACTGCCCGGCTCTAATTTAAGATTTTCAAAGTGACAGCCAGGTGTGGTGGCGCTTGCCTTCAGTGTGGTGGCGCTTGCCTTCAGTCCCAGCCTAGTCTACAGAGTGAGTCAGGACAAGTGGAGGTACATAGAGAAACTCTTGTTTCAAAAAAAAAAAAAAAAACCCAAAAACCAATCAAGTAAAATATTAAAACAAACACGCCTTGCCTTCACAGTTCCCTCACTTGGCTGTTGGATTCTAAGCAAAACCATCTGAGAACGAGGCTGAGCGAGGAGACGCCCTTACATTGCGTCCCATTTGTCTGCATCCTGTGTTTCAAGAAAGGCTTCCAAGTGGCCATTCTAAGTTTAAATAATATGTTTGCTTTCATGACAGATACTATCGATACTTTTGGCTGAAAACACTTCATTAAAGTTCTGGTCCAATTCTATCTACAACGGTTTCCTTCTTCTCACACTTACTAAAGCCGCTGCCCCGGTGGCTAACTCCTGGCTACAGGGAAATTAAGAACCCTCACCTCTGGTCACTGCAGCAGGCTTTGGATCTGGCGGTTTTACAAGGGCTTCAGCCTTCCTCAGACTGTGCTGTGGGGAGAGAGTGGGGCTGGCTGGGGAGCGAGGGAACACACTCTCGAGTTCCTGAGGGTGGACTCACCTGAGACCCCTGTCAAGTTCCACCCCTCTGTGATTTGAGATGTCATGGGGAAACACCAACAAAACAGTCCTTTTGTGTCCTGAAGAGCCAACATCATTCAAACCCAGGGACAGTGGGTGAGGAAGATTCTATACGTCTAATCACCTATGACACGGATTGCAGAAGGCCGAGTCTTCAAGCTTAGCTTTGAAGAGTTTGTAGTATTGTGAGGTGGAAGCCTGGGGGTGGCACAAGAGCTCCCCCCAGTGGAGGACAGACTATCAGAGTCCCCAACAGCTGGTCTGTTAGTGCTAACAGGCCCCGTGGTCCATTGAATTTAGGTTATCTGTTCAGAGGGAAAGGAGGCAACAGAATTCAAGCCATTATCAAAGTCAGACTCCCAAGTCTTAGAAATTGTCACCTAAGATACTTACTGCCCTTTCCTCTTTCCACTCATGCAAGTGTGGACCATCTGTGCCACAGCTGGTCACGTGTTCTTGGTCATGATGTCCACAGACCGGATGGGAGGCTGGGGTAGCCTGGGCTTCTCTGTCATACTCTATGCTCTCTTTTTCTCTTGGAGCCCCTCAAGCACCACTTACACTGAAATGTTTGCTAGTTTCTCTTTTACCTTTGCTTGCATTTTTTTTCGTTCATTCTCTTCTGGGCTGATGTTCTCTACGCAGCCTGTCTGCTGGTTTCTGGAAATTTGCTCCTTCTCAGCCGGGAGCGTCTCCATCGCCTGAGGAGCTGGGGCACAGGGCAGTCATTAAGTCTGGTGCATCTTGGGTCCTCAGTTCTCCTGGCAATCTCCAACCACTGAAGGCTCTACATCCGAACCTTTCAGTTCCGCACTACTCTGTCTTTAAATATGTAAGCAAAAGGTTTGGGCCACTGACTGTGTCCAGCTCCACTGTTTGGCCTGGGCACGCCTACCAACTCCACCATTATACTGCCAGGATGGCACACGTTACTCCTGACTCTAAGGTGCCATCTTTCGCCTACTCACTAGCCTGGGCAGGACAGGTATTCTTATCGTGAACATGAAAACTTGAGGGTCTTTCCTTGCATGTTTTGAATGGTTTTCTGGTCAAGAGAGCTGTGACCCGCGGTCCCAGGTTATCTCAGGCCATTTACATGAAAAGGAAGATGCGGATTTTCCGGGAGAATGACATAAACCAAATACAAAGTATAATGAGAAAGAACTCTGACCATCAAATAGTTTTTAATAACAAGAAAATGTTTACACATTATTCCACACTGGACACGGAAGAGGCTGCGTTAGTAAACACTTTGGACCCCAGAGTGAGTACTCACACCAAGGACTCCGTAACCAGCTCTTTAGACCATGCTAGAAGCTGACGAAGTGATTCACGTCGGTGGTTTCCTTTCCTGTGGTAGAAGCTGATGGGGCTCACACCACACTGGGCTGTTGCAGTTCACATAGGAGTTTTCATGATTCTAGCATTATACAATTTTAAGCTGAGATTATACTCAGAAATAAGTTTAGAAAACAGTATTACAAAAGACTGGGTGAGCAGGGAAAGAAATCCCATGCAGGGCGGCTGTGCTGCAGAAGCAGGGTCTTCACTGCCATAAGTCCTCTGTACGGCCAAACTTGAAAACCAGCCCTCTGTGGACAGAGCAAGTAGGACAACATGACTGTTGGGTTGGGAAACTTCTAGAACAGTAGGAAGCATGTGACAGAGAAACACACACAGCTGCAGAAAAAGCATCCGTAGATCCACACACACTAGAGACATGAATTGTTCAGAATGTTTGACTGCTATTTACTGTTACTGCCCCCAGACCTGGGGGTGTATGTGGGGTGGACCCAAGGCCTGGGGGTAGGCACACGAGCGCCAAGCTGCAACTCCACCCCTATCCACACACCTTATGGGTTATCTTGGCGTGCAAGGCCCATACAGACAAGTAAGACATAGTGTCTGTCCTCAAGCTGCTGGAATCCGATAACCCTTGTCACACATACTTGCCCAGTGGTGGGCACACAGACCAAACACCAAGGAGGTCCCAAGTACAAGCTCATTCTCCTTAAATGAGTTCAATTTTTTGTTTTCATGAGATGGGGGTCTAACTGTGTAGTCTGGGCTGCCAAGGTGCCTACGATATAAATCAGGCTACCCTTGGCCTTAGGGCAATCTGTTGCCTCTACCTTCCGATGATGCTGAGGCTTCAAGCACTAATCACTATGCCTGCTGTCAGTTTCTGATTCGTTTGAAATGACTCAGACAGGAGCAGGGCGATGGCTCTACAGGTACAGCATTTGTTGGGAACCCTGACAATCCGTGGAAAGAGTGAACCAACTGTTAAAAAGTTGTCCTCCGCCGGGTGGTGGTGGCGCACGCCTTTAATCCCAGCACCTGGGAGGCAGAGGAAGGCAGATTTCTCAGTTGAAGGCCAGCCTGGTCTACAGAGTGAGTTCCAGGACAGCCAGGGCTACACAGAGAAACCCTGTCTTGAAAAACCAAAAAGTTGTCCTCCGATTTCCCTGTGCGGCAGCACGTGTGCACATATGCACACTCACAGCCACACACAAATTCAGTAATACTAAAAAACTAAAAAAAAAAAAAAATACAAAGGATGGTGATATTTGAAATGGGCTTTGATGGATAGGCAGGAGTTCAAATGAGGGGGTGAGGCAGCTGGTTTTATGAACAAAATCAAGTCATCAGAGAGGACAGAGCCTCAATTAAGAAACTGCATCCCCATAAAATCAGGTTGTAAGCAAGCCTGTAGGGCATTTTCTTAATCAGTGATTGATTGAGGACGGCCCAGCCCACTGTGGGCGGGGCCATCCCTGGGCTGGTGGTCCTGGGTTCTCTAAGAAAGCAGGCTGAGCAAGCCATGGGGAGCAAGCCAGTAAGCAGCACCCCTCCATGGCTTCTGTATCGGCTCCTGCTCCAGTTCCTGCCCTGCCTGAGTTCCTGTCCTGACTTCCTTTGATGATAAACTGTGATCTGGAACTATAAACCGAATAAGCCCTTCCCTCCCTAAGCTGCTTTTGGTGATGTGTTTATCACAGCAACATCGATCCTAAGGCGGCAGGGACAAGGGCCAGTGGGAGAATAAATAAACAAGGTGTTTTGGGTGAAGAAACAGTTCTCAGAATTCGAATGCCAAGAAGCTGTGGGGTAGGCCGGGCGGTGGTGGCGCAGGCCTTTAATCCCAGCACTTGGGAGGCAGAGGCAGGCGGATTTCTGAGTTCAAGAGTTCGAGGCTAGCCTGGTCTACAGAGTGAGTTCCAGGACAGCCAGGGCTACACAGAGAAACCCTGTCTCGAAAAAACAAAAAAAAAAAACAAAAAAAAAAAAAAAAAAGAAGCTGTGGGGTAAGGGCTGGGGGTGGAGGCCCACGGTAGTGCCAATGCCAAGAATGCCCGAGGGGCCAAAGTCCTGCCAGGCCTAGGAACTCACACATGTAGTTCCAGCTTCTTAGGAAGCCTGAGCCCAGGAGTCTGAGTCCAGTCTTAGCTACAGAGAGCAATTCCTTCCTTTAAAGAAAACACATACACGCACATGCACAGATGAAAACACAGAAAAGCACCCACACATATACACACCGAGCAAAACTACACACACAAACATCAAAGCCACACGTACAGAGAATAAAACTACATGTATGAGGCTGGAGAGATGGCTCAGCGGTTAAGAGCACTGACTTCTTTTCCAGAGGTCCCAAGTTCAATTCCAGCAACCACAAGGTGGCTCACAATCATGTGTAATGGGATCCGATGCCCTCTTCTGGTGTAGACAGCTACAGTGTACTTACATACATAAAACTGTCAGACTGTGAAAGGCAGCCTGGTTTCTGGTCAAGCACAGGCTAGAAACCACCGGAGACCCCAGGTGACCCCCAGGGGCCCCAGGTGGGACCCTGGTGATCCTAAGGGACAGCAGGCGGTCTGCCACGCCCCCAGACTCTAGGCTATTGACAGGAGGCCCCAACCCCTTCATAGATTTGTGTCTTTCAGTCATGTAAGGGCAACGCCCCTACTAGCTCCTCCAAAGATGGAAGGTGTGACAAGTCTTGTAGCCTCAAGACAGAGCTCCGTATTAATGAAGCACCTAAAGACCAGAAGGTAATTAAACTTTCCTTTCCAGGCCCTTCTCCTTGCAAAAGGTATTTAACCTCAGGCCTGCCCTGAGAAAACGGGGTACAGTTTTTCATCTACTTTCTACCATGACAATAAACATTTTAAGACCATGGACTGTTTCTTTTCATCGAGAACAATGTGGGGAACAATGAAGAAGGCCTTTGCCTACAGAGCCGCCATGCCATACAGTCTCCCGCAGAAGACCTCTCTGCGGTCCCAGCCTCTGTGACCACCAACCGTGACCAAGGACCATCCCTGCGGGAGTACAGCCAGAGCTTCTCTCCCTCTCTCCCCCTTCAGCCACAGGCCAATACCCCACTTCGTTCTCAGCTCTTCCATGACTTCCAGTGGTGCCTGGGTGCCCAAGAGCATGAGGACCAGACGAGCTAGTTCCTGCTCCCCCAAGACCTCAGACTTCCCTCCCTAGCTTGATGTCTGCCCAATGCTGGTGTGGGGTGAGTGCAGTCAAATTCTTGGCCCTAGCCCCATGTCCAGGAGTCGGGACCCCCATTTTCCTAACATAAAAAAACCCAACAACCTACAATATAGAACAAAATGACACACAGACACAGAATAAAACCATAAACATACAAAGATCAGCCCCCCACCAAACAAAACAATACACATACAAACACACACACAGAAACATATATTCACAGATATAAGGTATGGTGTGCACACAGCTGTGATCAGAGTTCAAGATGCTCAAGTGAGGGGATCATGAGTTCAAAACCAGTCTAGGTTAAACAGTGACACTGTCTTCAAAACAAAACTAAAACACACACACACACACACACACACACACTGATACAGACGGACACACGTATAGTAAAGAATGAAAATCAGGCCAGGCAGTGGTGGCGCACGCCTTTAATCCCAGCACCTGGGAGGCAGAGGCAGGTGGATTTCTGAGTTCGAGGCCAGCCTGGTCTACAAAGTGAGTTCTAGGACAGCTAGGGCTACACAGAGAAACCCTGTCTCGAAAAAACAAAAAAACAAAACAAAACAAAACAAAAAAAATAATGATAAAATCAGAACTTACCCAAAAAAGATGAATGCATTCTGGAAAAATACAGCAATTCCAGGATACACTATGGTCTTTTCTGTAAAAACAATTGTAATATTTAGAGGTTTAAGATCTCCAAACAGGGCTGGGCGGTGGTGGCGCACGCCTTTAATCCCAGCACTTGGGAGGCAGAGGCAGGTGGATTTCTGAGTTCGAGAGTTCGAGGCTAGCCTGGTCTACAGAGTGAGTTCCAGGACAGTCAGAGCTACACAGAGAAACCCTGTCTCGAAAAACCAAAAAAAAAAAAAAGATCTCCAAACAGTTAGGTCCAGATAGACCAGCAGACACCAGCTTCCTTGACTACCCTAACTGACCATTCTGGCAGTGGTGATGGGTAAATCAAATGATGTGACATATGGCAGACAGCACTGGCTTAGTAAATGACAGCTCCCTCTGTTCAGGAAATGCTACGTCCGGAGGCAATGCACAGCATACCAGGAACAGTGTAGAAGGTGCTGGGGACCGTGAAGGACAGAACTGACAACTGTCTGGCCCTCAGGGAGCAGAGCCGTCTGCTGCTCCAGCAACTGAGACATTAGACCCAGAGGCCAGGAAGACCCCAGGAGAGGCAGCTGCAGGAGCAGTGGAGGGCAGGCGACAAGCAGAACTGAGGACAAAGGCCCCGAGGCAGGAGCAGCTGGCATGGAGAGGAATGGCTGCCGGGTAAGAGAAGTAAGAGCCTGGAGGTGAGAGGCCTGCAGGGCCTGGCTGGCAGGTCAGGATGGGACTGGAGATGACTGACAGAAGAGGTCCCACTGAAAGCAAAGGGAGAGGCAGGAAACCTGCTAGGAAGTCCTTTCAGGAGAGCGGGGGAGAGACTGGTGGGCTGAAGGGGGTGACAGCCATGGAGATGCTAAGAGGTGGCTGTGACCTGGGTAGACACAGGATACACTGTGCCCGGGACCAGATGCTCAGGGGAAAGAAGGCGCTGTCCTTGACAGGCCGGGGTGAAGGCAGTAGTGACTGGCCTACTGGAAGGACACAGTTACCTTAGCAGAGGATAAGACTGCAGTCGCAGCATGGGCTCTGAGCACAGAGCTGGGGCCTCCTTGTCATCTCTCTGACCAGGCTGTCAGGAGCACTTGCTAACTGACAACTCAGAGCCTGGTGGGCCACATGACTTTTTCTCTTTTCAAAATAGCCTGAGGTTTTGTCTAGGCCGCTACTATCTCACATTAACACACATTAACACCTCCAGGTATAGTGGCTCACTCTTTAGTCCCAGCACTTGGGAGGCAGAGGCAGGTGGATCTCTGTGAGGTTAGCCTGGTCTACAGAGTGAGACCTAGCCTCATGACAACAGTAACAAAGCCAGCCAACCAACCAACCAAACCAGACTAAGCCAATCCAGGCTTGGTCAAGCATCAGCGCTTTGGTTTTTTCTGTGATAGCTATGGTCTATTTTAACTGGAATACTAAACATGTTTCCTATTTTTCTAGGCTCCCTCAAATTGGACTTCTAGCCAGGGACACAGATGCTTCCCAGCTATGGTCTTAAATTGGTCTTACAGACTACATGCAATTGTTAACTACTTCTCTGTAAAAACAGGTAACACTCTATTACCAAGGAGTTATAACTGAATAAATGAGGACCAAACCGGGACAATGTGGCAAACCCATGTGACCTCAGCACTCCGGAGGTAGAGAAGGGGAATTCCCAGCCACCCTAGGTTACATGGCAACAACTTATCCTGGGTGTGATGGAGAATGTTTGTAATCCCAGAATCTGGGACTCTGAGAGAGGCAAGAAGATTGATGGGGAATTTGAGGCCAGGGCTACACAGCAGGAGTTGTTTCACCAAAATAAAAACAAACCCTCAGCCAGGATGTGGTGAGGCACAACTTTAATCCCAGCACTTGGGAGGCAGAGGCAGGCAGATCTCTGTGAGTTGGAGGCCAGCCTGGTCTACAGAGTGAGTTCCAGGACAACCAAAGTTACACAGAGAAACCCTGTCTCAAAAAATCAAAACGAACCCTCAGTGGGAGGGTGCTTGCTCCCACATGTAGGGGGATTCTTTTTTTCTGTCTTCTTTCTTTTCTTTTTTTAAAGGTTATTAAGACAGGGTCTCTCTATGTGGTCTTGGTTTTCCTTGAACTCACTCTATATAGACCTGGCTGGCCTCGACTCAGATCCACCTGCCTCTGACTCCTGAGTGCTGAGATTAAAGTTGTGTACCACCACCACCACAGGCTCAGCATCCTAATTAAAAAAAAAAAAATCTGGAATGTCAGGGCTCTGCACGTATGCTGCATGTGTGACAGTCCTGACTGACGACTTGACTGTAGAGTAATCAAGCACACACACCCCTGACGACAGATCACTAGTGTTCTGACCTAACCAATGAGCTACTTCAACAGTGGACTCAAACTCTGAGACAAGTGGCAGTGTTGGGACTGGGTGAGCAGGCCCTCCCGGCGGTGGGGGTGGGGCTGCTGGTGACAAGCTCTGCCTCATTCCTCTTGGTCTTCTCTGTCCCCCAGCTGCCAGGAGGTGAGCGCCTCTGAGCCATCCTTCCCTTCTGCTCCCACCAACACCAGAGATGTGGGGCCACTGCCCCTAACGACAAGCTCTGGGCTGAGCCAAGACAAATCCTCTCTTGTTATCAGGCTCCTCTCAGGTCACAGAGCCAAATGTGTGAGCAATGCAGACTCTCTAGAGTCAAGAGCAAGGTGCGGAGCCATCCCCATAACTAGGTTGGAGGAAAAACATACAAAGCTACTGATGGAAAGTCTCTAGGTAAAATATATGGCAGTAGCTGGCCCGTGTGTGTGTGTGTGTGTGTGTGTGTGTGTGTGTGTGTGTGTGTGTGCGTACTTTTACATTCATCTTAAAACAGCCAGTTAGGATGTAAAATCCCAGTATGAGGTGAAAGTAAAATGTACCCTTACCCTTAGCAACATAACCTCCAAAGAGAATCCACATGGATGCGATCAGGGATCCGAAAGCCAACATGAAGCCGATGAAGAGCCAGACGCGAGCTCCTGAAAAGATACAATGTTACCACAGCTACTCCACAGACAGACCTAGTGACTTCACTGTGCCAATCAAAGTCCGAACTGAATGTGTGTCCAGGCCTGTGATCCCGACAATTGGAGGCAGAGGCAGGAAGGTCTGAAGTTCAAGGCTGGCCTGTGTTACATGAGACCCTGTCTCAAAATGAAACAAAAGGGTTGGTGGGTACCCGGCGCCTCAGTTTGTTTCCCAGGGCCCAAAAGTAGCAAGAGAAACCTAACTGCAACAAGCTGTCCTCTGATCTCCATCCAGGCACCATGGCATGTGTGTGCCCACACTCATACCCCCACACCTTCATCAGATATGGAGGCTGCTGTAGAAGGAATGTCAGTCTGAACTACACACTGAGGTGTAGGCCAGCGAATACTACAGATACCGTTTTAAAAAGCCAAAAATCACCTAGAGCACACACATGTACTCACAGACGTGACATATGTACACACAAAAAAATAAACATATAAAAATCAGTGGGCTAGGCGTGGTGGCACATGCCAGTGTCCACACACTTTGAGGGTTGAAGCAGAAGAATCTATTCCAATTCAGGGCCATCCTTGGCTATGTTTGAAATTAGCCTGGGTTATCTGGGATCCCGTCTCAGATAAAGATTGGGCCAGTGAGATACTTCAGTGGGTAACTATGCTTGCTATGCAAGTCTGAGGCCAGGCGTGCCATCCCTTAAACTTTCTTAAATAGCCAGAAGGGCGGGAGAGACAGCTCAGTAGTTAAGAGCACTGGCTGCACTTCTGGAGGACTAGGTTGGTTCCCAGCACCCATATGAGGATCTGAACCCTCTTCTGGCCACTGCAGACACCAGCCACACATGTGGTGCACAAACACATGCAAGCAACGCATCCACACACATTAAAAAAATCAAACAGACAAAAAATGCTAATACAATTGTGATGGCTTGTATATGCTCAGCGTAGGGAGTGGCACTATTAGGTGTGGCCCTACTGGAGTAGGTGTGTCACTGTGGCTGTGAGCTTTAAGACCCTCATCCTAGCTAACAGAAGCCAGCATCCTGCTAGCATCCTTTAGATGGAGATGTAGAACTCTCAGCTCCTCCTGCACCATGCCTGCCTGGACACTGCCATGTTCCTGCCTTGATGATAATGGACTGAACCTCTGAACCTGTAAGCCAGCCCCAATTGAATGTTGTCCTTATAAGAGTTGCCTTGGTCACTGCATCTGTTCACAGCAGTAACACAACTAAGACAACAACCAAATATCCCTGTCAAAAAGCACAATCACGTCTAGGGTAGTTTAATGTGGTGAGATTCTGCTTTGCACACGTTACCTGCTCTCTGCGACAGCCTACAGACACTTTAAGGCCACTACTATTGCTGAGATCAGACACTCACGCCTGGTGGGTTTTGTGCTCACAGCCTGCTGTAATCTACGCCTTGGAATCCAGCATCTCCCTGTCCTGTGCAGGAACCCAAGAAGCCCGACAAGCATCCTGCCATGTAGAAGTCTCAGTTTGGGGAAGAAAGCTCTGTAGTAGATGTCACCGTCCATTTACCTGTCTGGCCCAGGCAGCCCTCGCTGTAGCTGTCGCCTCGCACTTGTCCGTTCGATACTGCGTTAATCCTGCAGGAGGAGGAAAAGCAAGAAATCGGGGGCTCGCCCTCCAAGGAGAATTACACACACATTGTTAAACTCAAGAAGGTAGGGTTGTCCAAGTTCAAGGTGAGGCCTCCTGAGCCTTGAGCCATGGGTCCACATGACTCAAGTCACCTAAGGAAGTCCCTTCAAGTGAGACATACCCTGGAACCATGGTTGTCTTGCATTCTGGGAGAAATGGCATCTCCTGGCAAGTTGTTGGGAAACTCTTGGACTCATCCTAAACCTACTGGAGCAGAACGTCCAGCGTGGAGCTCCAAAGCCTAGTTCTAACAAGTTTTTCAGGTGTCTTGCACGCTTGTGAAAAGCTAAATATAGGACCGGAGAGACGGCTTAGGGGTTAAGAGCATTCACTGCACACACAGGAGCCTAGCCTGTCCACACTGTCTATACTGGAGCTTCTGGGCCTCCAAGGGAACCAATGCTCACACACGCACATCCACACACATACTTTTTAAAAATTAATCTTAAAGGCTGGGCTGTGGTGGTGCACACCTCAGGAGGCTGAGGCAGATGGATCTCTGTGAGTTCAAGGCCAGCCTGGTATACAGAGTGAGTTCTGGGACAGCAAGGGCTACACAGAGAAACCTGCCTTGAAAAAAACAATAAATGAACAAATATATTTATAT